GGCTGAAGGGCTTCCGGACGCATAAATCGCACCAGGCGCCGTCGTACGGCGGACCACCGATGCATCATAACATAACTAGTTGTTAAAAAGGCGGCAGGAATAGGAGCATCCATACGGTCACGCAATTAGAACCCCGCCGTGAGATGCGTCGGTGGCTGTGAGGCAGGTGGGACATGCCTGGGAGGCTGAAAGGGCTTCCGGACGCAAAAATCGCACCAGGCGCCGTCGTACGCCGGACCAACGGTGCATCATAACATAACTAATTGTTAGAAAGGCGGCAGGAATAGGAGCATCCATACGCGCAAGCAATTAGAACCCCGCCGTGAGATGCGTCGGGGGCTGTGAGGCAGGTGGGGACATGCCTGGAGGCTGAAAGGGCTTCCGGACGCATAAATCGCACCAGGCGCCGTCGTACGCCGGACCAACGATGCATCATAACATCAACTAGTTGCCAGAAAAGCGGCGGGGAACGCGTCTTCACGCTCGCTAGCCAACCATCATGGGGAAGGGATGTAAGACCATCCTCTGGGATGGGTCGAACTACTCCCACTGGCTCGGCGAGTTAGGCGATTTCCTCGCAACGTCCAAGTTGAAGAGCTACATCAACAACCCGTCGCCTCCGAGCCGCAACTCCCAAGACGCCCTGGAGGAGGACGCACAGGCGCTCAGCTACCTGCGTCTGTCCTGTGAGCTGCCCATCAAGCAGTTGCTCATGAATTGCCCAACCGGTCTCGCCGCCATGCAGCTCTTACAGCAACAGTTCCGTTCTGCATCCCAGGCCCGGCTGAGCCTGGTTGAGCCGCAGATGCAGCTGAACATGCGCGATGGGGAGACAACCGCTGACTTCATTTAGCGGGCAGAGCAGCTCCGTAGCGATATAATTGTGGCCGGCGGCCAGTGGGACGAGAGCACGGTGCGCCACGCCATTCTCCATGGCCTGCCTCCGCAGTACGCCATCACCATCGAGTTCACGATGTATCAGCCCAACTTAACGACCCCACAGCTCGTGCTCATGCTGCGGGAGAAGGACAACAACCTCAAGACCCAAGCAAGCAAGACCAGCCTGGTGGGAGCTGTCGGCCCTGGCCGTGCCCCCAGTGGAGTCGGCAGCACCGCCAGTGCTGCAGGCGCCGTGGGGGCCGGCGACACCTGCCGCTACTGCGGACAGCCTGGTTACTACATCTGCGAGTGCCCCGTTAAGCAGGCGGACGAGTCCATCGGCCTTCACCACAGCAACGCATTCGAGCAGCTGCACGCCGCCGGCAACATCAGTTGAGGCAGCCGCAACCGCCACTGTGACGGCGGCGGCAGGGACACTGGCAG